TTATGTGAGTCAATCCCACCAGCAACTAAATAGATATGAAAATTAACTTTATAAAAGACATAAGGTGTGTGCTTATAGAGGATATTTTATATATGCAGCTACTTCATTAATGAGGATCAAACATTAAATACTAGTTCACACACACACAAATACACACACACACACACACACACATATTACCATTGCATGCATTATAATTTGTGAACCACATAAAACAAAACGTACTACACCATTGATGAGTGCCGAAATATGCACATTTTGGCCCTTAATCTTATGGTTGCTAGCACCTTAATTTATCTTTATTCATCTTTTTAGTTGTAATTTATTTTATTGTCGATTTCAGGTTAATAAGGCTTAAACGGGCTAAATCCAATGCTTTAAAGCTTTTTGAAGTCAACCAAACTGCAACGAAGAAGAAAAGCACCAAAAGCAAAATCAGGATCAATCGTGGTAAGAATAGGATCGATCGTAGGAAAATATAATCGATCATAAATCGCAATAGTTTTCTATAAAAGCATATCTAAAGCTCAGTTCAAATGAACTCCGGTTATGGATGAAATGTAAGATCCTTGGGCCGAGTTCTGACCATCCTAGAGCCCAAATCCGAGCATATGTATAGGATGAAGCCTCCTTTGGAGGAGGATATGCGGATTGGAGTTCATGAAAGACCATGCTTTGAAGATTTTCTCTCTCTAGAAACCCTCTCTTCCACCATTGAAGATCTTGGGCTGTGCTTGGAGATGGGGACTGGAGCTTCAATGTTCATCTTCGTCATCTCTATGGCTAGCGATTTCTTCTATTAGGGCTTGGATTAAGCTCTAAGCCAAGTATTATATTATTTGTCTTTAAATTTGGGGATTATTTGTGTAGATTTTTTAACCTTGCGAATTATATTTGGTTGTACCAACTTTAGTTATGTGTTTAATTCTTTCATTTGTCTTCTTATGATCTTTACATTGTCTTATGCATTGATTGTAGTTGATTGATCTCAACATCTTCACTTCTTGTAGTTATGTGGGTAATGGTTAAACAATGGTGCTTAATTGATGTAATTGCAATTGGTTTGATAGTTCATGCTTAGATTTGATGGGTTGTGCTACAACACTAGTGTAGAAGTAAGTAGGTAGACAATTCATGCTTAGTTTTAATGAGTTATGCTTATTGATTTACATATTTTCTTGACCGTGATTGTGTGCTTGTAGCTACAATTCTATTATTGCACAAATATTTTCTCCAATTTGATTGCAATGGTAAAATTACAAGGCCAAAGGTAGAGTCCATGACTTAAGTATCTCTACCTCCATTCTGTTATCCATTTATCTTTTCTTTTATTTGCATTTATTATTTTGTTTAGTTTAATTAGGATTTTAAATAAACTTTCTTTTCTATTCAATCAATTGTTCACTAATTATAAATTGAATCCAGCCGTTAGTCCCTGTGGACGATCCCTACTCACTATGCTATATAGTAGTGGTAGTTTTATAAATGTAAAATTGACTTTCAATGCTTCTAAAACCACATTCATATTGGCCTTGTGAAGCGACCTCTCACAAAGGCCCAGTCAATTTTTGAAGCCGTTGCTAGGGACTACAGTTTAATTGATTCAATTTAACCTTAGTGAACATTTGATGGTTAGTATAGGATTTGTGTATATATTTTGCTTATTCTTTGTTTTTGTACAATTCTAGGTATTTGATTGAGAGAGGAGCTAGCTTGGGAATCATTACTTTGCTTGGGACTTTTGTGAGCCTATCTTGAAATCTTTTGTATATCTTTTCTTTTCGGTTTCTTTTCTTTTATTTTGTTCATCTTTTGTATTACTAGATAGGATTTCATGCTTTCATTTTTTACTTTATCTTTAAATTTTTTTTTCAAAAACTCTCATAAAAATGGTTTTGTGTTTGAATGGTGCATGCATGGACACAATTCTTCAAATTTCTGCCCTTCAACACTTAGAATTTTTTTTCAAAAATGTGCAGTGCTACTCTCTGTTGATCGTATATTCATGCCTGTATAATAATTGTTAGCAACAGGATTTTTGGGCTGGTTTGGACAAGCCAAGTAAGGATGGCAATGGGGCGGGTTTCTCATTACCCATCACCGTCCCCGTTTAAATTTGGCTACCCCAAAACCGCCCCATAACCGATTATTTTTTTACCCCTAATCCTCATAACCACCACCCGCCCCATCCCCACTTGCGCCACCCCCGCCCCCGCTCCATAATTGGTCATCCTCAACAAACTTCTACAACCATTTATTTGACCTTATGCAAAAAAGACAACATCACAATCATTATATATATATATATATATATATATATATATATATATATATATATAACATCTCACATAACATCAAAATATATTAGTGATTCCTAACAGTAATGAATTTTCCCATTTCATATATATGACACCCTAATGAAACCAAATTTTGCACTCTGTTTAGAATTTGAAAAATATAACATAAAAAACATGGATATGACACCCTATTCTGGTGTCGGTTAGCGGTGGGTAGCATGGATATGGGCACTCGGTTTGTGAATTCGTCGTCCTCGGAAAGTCGAGAACAAAATTACAATCTCGCCTCTAATAACTTCAAATCCAAACCAAAAAATTGCAAGAAAAAGATTTTGGCTTAAAATAGTATCAATTGATGGATCTTATTGTTTGAACTAACCTATGATCGAGAAAAAATATCTGCAAAAACAGGGGGATGTCGGCTTAGGCGGAGGTTGGCTGAGGCGGTGGATCAAGATGGTGAAGGAGGCAGGAGGGAGTGTACGACGGTAGGAGTACCGGCTAGTTGCTTCATCCTTGTCTCCTTCTTGGTTGTTGTTTTTGTCAAATCTATCAGTGCCACCTCACCCCATCCCCACCCCATTTAAGTAAACAGTTCTCCAATCCTGTTTTAAACGGGGCGGGGCGGGGGTGGGCAGTTCCCTACCGGGTTGGAATTTTTGCCACCCCTAAAGCCAAAAGCCAAGACACCCGCACTGGATGGATACCTGTATATGATGATTTTCTGTGTTTAATGGGGTCAACCATTAGATGGAGAATTTTTAAAGTTATAAAAAAAAAAAAAAAAAAAAAAAAAAAAAGCCTAGTTGTTTGTTACCTGCCATCACTTGTTTAATAATAAATCTCAACCTCCTGCTCCAGTAGTGCAATGGACTAGTTCCTAATTCCCTAGAGGGAATCCTATGCATCCGCTCCTGTGCCTCCAAACCACACTATACATATTAAAAGCCATCTTTCTTTAAAAACTAACTAAAAAGCTGTCTTTTTATTTTATTTTTATTTTATTTTATTTTATATTTATCAGACTAAAGAGTTGTGTTTTCAAATGTCATATGATGCTATCTGACGGTAGCTTCGCTATACTAACGTCATTATAATATTTTTCTGAATTTTTAAATTTATATTTGTTAAAATATAGACAAATACGGAAATTTTTTGTAATTAGTGTACTTATTTAATTAAGTAAATGTCAAAAAAATATTTTAAAAATATTATAAAAATAGTGCTTCGAATGGGACATCTCAAAATAAAATTTTTGAAAGGAAATAATTATTTTTTTTTAAAGTGAATTACACTAATACCTTTTGTGGTCAATATTATTATAATTATATATATATATATATATATATATATAAATTTAAATTAGATATTGTATATTCTCTCTCGTAGCTCCAACCCCTCTCATTTTGAAATTAATCTCTCTGGCACGCGCGCGGACACAATCTTTGAAATCAACACACACTCTCTCTGTCTCTATATATGTATATATATGTATATTATTTATCATCAGTTTTTCTTCTTTGGTGACTACCAACCAATTTCTCTTTAGGAATATAAATTTTCTCAGTTTTCTTTTCAATCAAACGACCTTGTTTAGTAGATATTGCATGTTGTGTTTAATTTCATTCCAATTTAGGGTTCATTTAGGTTTTATTTTTATGGTATACCTAGTTTTTTTTTTAGGTTTTTTTTATTATTTTATTTTACCTTGTATTTTTGAATTTTTTTAATACTATTTTAAAAAGAAAAGTTTTTGGACGATTAACTAAGAGATAAGAGGGTATAGAGTGATGGGCTTTGCTAAATGTGAAAATTTTTATTAAACAAAAACAATAAAATATATCAAGGCCTAATAACTCTAAAAAACAAAATAAAGAAGAAAAACAAAGAGAGAGAGAAAGAACAATTTTTAAGATATTCAATCTCAACGTTTTTTGGTTCTTAGATATTGATGATTTATAGTCAATTTTTTTAGTTCTTCAACGCTTGAGTTTGAATATTGATGATTTGTCCTCCTTTTGCAATCTTTACTAGTCTTAAATATTGATAATTTAGAGTCAATTTTTTAGTTGAGTTTTTTTGGGTTCACTTGGTTCTAAGAAATTGTTTTTTTTTTTTTTTTTTTTTTTTTTTTTTTTTTTTTTTTTTTTTTTCTGTTGTTTTTTTAGTGTTATGTTGTTTTAAGGCCAGAAGACACCTATGATTTTCTTAAATGTCAATGTCTCTCAAGTCTCACCTTATAGTGGATCTAAAATAATTGCAGATGCAAGTATAATATTGCACTTTTGAACAAATTCGATCTACGAATTGTAATAAGATTGACTTCATAGTAATTCAAGATGATTGGAAAAGATATCAAACACTAATGATAATGAGAATCATACAATAAAGAGAAATCTGAATGACAAGCATAAAAATGACAGTGCATAAATGACTTACACGCATTCTCAGAAGTACTGATACAATTCTAATTAACTGTACATTTCATATTACTAATGCTGATCCAGACGAATTAATTAACAAGATGGATTTGTTGGAAGAAAGGAATAGTAGACATACATACACACTGATAGACATGAAATAGTTACCTTGCTAGTTGCGATAATAAGAAAGAACGGTGTAGATGGAGTACAAAAGTGTGATGAGATTCAGAATAATGACAGCAACTACTGCCATTTGTGTGGTTGCATTAGCAAGAGCTAGTCACCAAGGTGTGCAAAAATCCGTCACCTGCATCCACAGATCCTTATAAAGAAGGTTTTGATTTCTTACAATGATTTCATCGCTGGTAATATCCTTGAAGAGTTCTGACACCGCTTCACCGAAACCTAACTGGTTACTTATGACTCCGGCTTCTTCAAGCAATTTAACATCTTCTGCAGGGTCCAAGAGGATGCTCATGGTGACAGCATGTGATGTGAAGTAGTTGTCAATACCGGGACAACAATGCTCGAAAGCAATGGGGTTTCTCAATAATGATTCAGTAGATTCATTGATAGAGAAACGTGGAATTTTAAAATGAGCTCTTCTTCACAAACAAAAGCAACGACGATCCGTGCTAAATTTCAAATCAAATAGGCTTTCTCTTCTGATACGTGACCCAAACTTGACTTCTACACTCTGGAGTTTTGTTGCACTGTATTTGAATGTAGGTTTCTCTTTGTGTTTGTACCATATCGGTGCCTTCTGCAAATGAGATAGATAACAAATGTGTAAAAAATGGAGTATATGATGAGGGGAATTGTTTTTTAGGTTTTCTATTTCACCACCAATATATTCTAGTCCCATCATCATATCTCCAAACAATGAAAGGACACATCTACGGAGGGAGACTGGGCGGCGCCCTAGAGTAGTACTATCCGACGGGATACGTTCCACTGTCAGCCTGAACAATTCTTCAAGAAGGAAGAAGGGGATCTGGTTCTCGAGCAATAGCAGATCACGTCTGACCTGATTGTACTTCAAATGGTTCTGCAAAATTGGGTCGGACATGTCTACCCATTTCTTGTAAAGAAGTTCAATTATGAAGCAACCATCTAACAACATGCATCTTACATCATCCAAAAAAAAAAATTGGGAATAGAATTCCTCAACAAGGGACTTCAACTGTAACATAGCTACCGTACATTCTGCTCATTTGCAAGTGTTCCATTTCGCTCAAGTAGCTCACCCATATACCTCTTTTTCACCGCCTCCATCTCCATTACACCTCCTCTCCAACCGTTAAGAGGCCCAATATATACGAAGCTTGGACGATAGGCGTCCTCATTTTGTACACGAAGCACAACCGGGACCCTATACATGCCTTGGACCCTTGTCGCGGGCAGTTCGCCAGCCATCGGAGGAGACTGTGTGTTGCTTGATCTGTTTGCATCTATATCACCCTGAAGAAGCATCACCATCTCCTGAAACACTGAATTTTCTTCTTCGGCCACTACCGATTGATTATTATTATTTAGGCAGCATTGTGTTTGTCTTAAATTGTGAGGAATTGTGGGTTGGTTTGAGCAAGCAAGCCAATACCACTGCACTGGCCTTATATGTGTTGTTTTTATGTACTGTAATCTTATATATTTAGAGTGAAGAAATACAAAACAAAACAGAAGGCTTGGTGGGTTTCCTCTAAGATTCCATCACTTATTTAATAATAAGAGTAATGCTTGCATCCTACGCGGGGAGGACGAACTTCATCCCCTCCGATGACGTGGCAACATATTATTGTGCCACGTGTCCAATACTAAAATAAATATGAAGATGGGTCATGCCCATTTTTGCGGATTAAACCCGCTCTTCTCTCTCTCTCTCTCTCTCTCTAAATGCAAAAGACCCCAATCTCATTCTCAGCCTCCGCCTTTCCACCACTCCTCCCACCACCATCAACGCAATCATTCTCAACGACTTCGGCGTCGGCACACTCTGCCAGAGAGATCGGCCACAAAAGTAAAGGTACGATGTAAAATTTGAAACGCTTTTTGAACCGCAAAACCAATTGGCTTCAAACCCCAATCACTGTCAAGAGAGAGATCAATAAAACAAAAACCAAGTAAGAAATCGTAAATACCCACCACAAAATCTGCTTTCCTTTTTATGGTCTGAATAAGACTGGAAAATTGACAATAGGCATTAAAAGAAAATCATTAAAAAAGAAAATTACAAACCCGTGAAAGCAAAACAGGAAACTACATCAAAAAAAAAAAAAAATACAGACCCGTGAAAGCAAAACACGGTCTCTGTCTCTGTATGCCCGGTTCAAGGTCCATCAGTACGGCGCGTGGGACGAACCTCCCACAACTGGCCTTGTTCTAGTACACATTGACTCGCCTTGGTGGTGGGAGAAGGAGTGGAAAGGCGGATACATTAAAAGCAGGGGTCGCCGTGACCAGAATTGCCCATAATTGAGGCTGATTCGAAGGTCCAGCAATGGCAGCACCGGCGGGAGGAATCATGAAAAATGCTCCGTCAGGGATGGCATTCGGCGGAAGAACCCTCGCTCCACCGCCAACGGCCCACACAGGCACTAGACCTTGCAGCGTCACCGGCGCGACCGACGCGAAATTGGAAGAGACCGAATCGTTTACGTCGTAAAAATCACTGTTACACGCTCGCTTTCTCTTCTTCCTCGAGCTGTCTCCTTCCGATGTGGTCGTCAATGTGGATGATGGCGTTGATGGTGGTGGGAGAAGGAGTGGAAAGGCGGAGGCTGAGACTGAGATTAGGGGTTCTGCATTTAGAGAGAGAGAGAGAAGAGCGGGTTTAACCCGTAAAAATAGGCATGACCCATTTTCATAATTATTTTAGTATTGGACACGTGGCGCCATAATATGTTGCCACGTACGCAGGTAGGATGAACTTCATCCTTCCTGCGCAGGATAGAAGTATTTTCCTAATAGAATAATTGATAATTCTCAACCGTTATCTAACTTTGATTGTTTGCTTTGAAGCTGGTTGATACCTAATCCGCTGGAGGGAATCCTATGCAACCCTCCCTTCCTGTGCTCAAAACCATCTCGTTTTATATATTTAGGATACATCTAGGTTTTATTTATTTAATTTATTTTTTATTATTACTTTGGGATTTATTGTTTCTACTATTAAAAAATTTGTGTGTACATCCCACTGAATTGATCAAGCAACTCTAACATTGTACGTTTTCATGGTCCATGCAACACTTCAATCTTACATCAGTTTATTATGTTTATTACTATCTGTATATTGCATAAATAGGTTTGTGTATGGAACTCTCTCTCTTTTTTTTTTTTTTTTTTTTTTTTTTTTTTTTTTTTTTTTTTTTTTTTTTTAAGTATTAAAACACTTGTAGTTGTTAGTTATTACTCCTTCTATCCCAATTTTTGGGAATCTAATTTTTTAAGAAGATGATTTTTAGTGTCTTTTTATTATATTGATAGTAAATAAATTACCAAATTTACTCATAATAAATCCATAGTGATGTGATGATTTATTTTTTACAAATTCAATGCAAGAAGGTTAAAATGATAATGTTACCAAAAAAATAAAATAAATAAATAAATAAATAAATAGTACATTAACTTTTCAATTGCACACTTATTTTGGAACAACTAAAAATAGAAAGGTGGCCACTTTTTTTTTTTTTTTTTGGGAACTGAGGAAGTATATCATTAGATGTTTATATATTTTTTATGATCAAAACAAATATATATATTTTCTTTTATAAATAAAAAATGAGGGGGGGAGGGAAGCTAGAAATAAATATATATTTTTTCTTTTATAGATAAAAAATGAGGAGGCAAGGATTTCAATACAATGAATTATATTTTTATTTTTTCTGAAAATCAAGCAAATTGTATAAATAGTGTAAATATTTACCGTATAGATTGGGCTGCAAAAGCAAAATGCATAGACAAACAAGAAAAGAAAGATCAGGGTCCGGATGCAGGAGGCCCAAGAGCAGGTAAAATAAAAGAAGATCAAGGCCCAAAGATGAGGCCCAAGTGGACAAACAATTCAATAAAATTGAAATAATCCAATGAAAAAAAATAATAATAATTCTTATTTCTTTATTCGGATCACATTCATATTTTCCATGATAATTAACAGAGATGCTGCAGTACCATTTTATTTTTAAAAGGGTTTGAAATGATATTTTTACTCCTATATTTTAATCTAAAATATCATATATTCAAAAGACTAAAATACCCATTTTTATTACTAATCATTTAATATAGGACGGTCAAAATCCATGACTCTATTTACCGTACTAAATTATAGTTATTGATTGGATTTTTTTATAGAAAAATAATACTGATTTTTATAATAATAAAATATAAATATATACAATAATATATACTCGTATATAAACATATATACAATAATAATGATAATAAAATAAATAAAACTAATAGAAGTAGCAGTAGCAACAACCATCATGTAACTAATACACACTAGAACTTGGATCTTGAATTTTGAGGTACTTAATAAGCATCGACTCCGATATATACAAATTTTTCCTTGATGGTTGAATTAGTCAATCCATTCTTCAGCAGAGTGCAGCTCAAGGACAAGGACCTTATTCCACTGCATAAGTAAATTATGCATTGATTTTTTTTTTTAAAAAAAGGCCATTCATTTTCAGTTTTTCGGGATCATGACTTGAATCAGAGACATTGTCATCCATCTATTAAATCATCGCACCTATGGTCCTACCAATTGAGAAATTGAACATAAAATTTTGATATTATTAACATCCTTGATGAAAGATGCCCTTATCTAAGGTGTGAACAAACCCCATAACATTTATGTCAGACTTTTGGTTGAACACCAATACATTCAAAATGAGTCGCTTTATAAAGAAACCCTCTACAAGGAGAATGGATCGATCTTTCGTATAGATGATAATCTGTTGATTGAACAATCCTTTACCTAATGTTGTTACAGAGACTGTTCATATGTCTGTGATTCCAAATGAACTTAACAATACAGGGTTTGCTTGGTTCCATTTCCTAAGCACAGTGTTCAATCCTCCCTAGAACTAAAAATTTTAAAAAGTTCACTGGTTATTAAAAAAAATTATATAAGAACAGATAGTCCAAGGGAGAGAGGGGAGCACGGTTTTAGCTTATGATGTGTTTGGAAGCTTTGGCCAAACGAGTATTTCAGAGTGTGCTGACAAGGAATTCCATTAATAACTGGCCATTTTGTATAATTTTTCTCTACCATTTTTTGTTTACTTTTTCTCTTGCTCAATTCGTAACTATTTATGTTCATTGTTCCCATAGAATTCCATGTTTTATAACAGCAAAACCTTATTTTATGGATCCTAGAAATATAAAAGTAACCCACATTTCTATTTTCTTAAAATTATTTCCTACTTCCACTGATGCTGATCCTGCCCTCAATGAATAGAAGCGAAGGGCACACCATGACACCTACTAAACACAACTAGTTATTTGTGGCATCACATTATTGAGGTCCATAATATCTACCAAACAACAGATTCATTATTACAAGAAAAGGGCACACCGTGCGTGAACATGTGCAATTGTAGACTACTTAAAATATGCATCCAATAGTGATGCTGCTGCGGGTTTCATAGGAACAGAGTCACTCGTCTTCAATATTTTCAAATAAACCAGATAACTATTCGGAAGCAAGAATATTTCAACGGAATTTGCATAATCAAGAATAAAAACAAAAACTAAAATGAAGAATATAAGTAGCCACCGAACATTAACTAAATCAGAACACATAAAAACAAAGCAACCTAAAACAAAAACAACCGAAAAACACTAATTTTCATAACTACATAAAATATCCAACGATGTCACTGCCAATGCACTTAAAACAATTATACAGTTTAGGCTTTTGATCAAGTCTACAAACCTCATCCTTCTCAAAATAATTTTCGATTTTACTTTGAAGTGACAAGCAATGAAATGACTTTTACTGCTGTGTAAAACTTCTAGCAAACGAAATAAAAGTTAGTGATTGATTAAGATTTACTTACAAGTAACTACAACTTCCGGTCTGTATAAGAACTTATGATATTGGTGGCAACTGCTTCAAAATTGTTGCTTTTGGAGCTTCAAAATTGCTCAAACTCGGCTCATTGTTCGTTTACTAAACGAGCCTGAAAAATGAACTTAAGTTCGGCTCGTTTAGTTAACGAACGATCCTGAGTTGAGTCCCGAGTGCACATATAAGAACGTTTGAGATCACATTATAAGTACCGTTGAAGTACACTAAAAACGTATGAGATCACATTATCAGTACTTATTGTGTAATGCACTATAGAGTGATTCTTACTATCCTTGAGTGCACATGACGCTCCATTACTCTCGAGAGAATTTTCTTCCCCCAATTTATTTTTTAAGTAATTGCACGATGCTTATGGAACAAGAAAATTGCACATGCCTTATAATGTAGTATATATGGAGTGCCAGACCACCATTGTTGAAAAAAAATAGTGATTAAACTCATTTGCCATGGCATGTAAGCATTGGAAGCCCACAATTATTTATTTACGTAGTATTTATTTTTCCCAAAAGTTCAAGCACACTCATGCTCTCACTCACAATATTGTCCTAGATGGGTTCAAACACTCAACTTAAAAGGAAAAATGTAACGATCCACTCCACTACATGGTATGATATTATTCGTTTTTGGCCTAAACCCTCACGATTTTGCTCTTGAGCTTCACCCCAAAAAGCCTCGTATCAATTGGAGATGACACACTTACATATGTGGGATGAGGACGTCGGGCCTCCAACGGGGATGGATTGTGATGACCTTGTGGGTGGGTGCGCCGTGGGCGGGCGCGAGACACTGACAGGTTACCACACTTGTGAGCTATTGGTGCACATTCCCACATCGCCTGGTTTATATGTAAGTGTGTCATCTCCAATTGGTATAAAGCCTTTTGGGGTGAAACTCAAGAACAAAACCATGCGGGCTCAGGCCCAAAGCAGACAATATCATACCATGTGGTGGAGTAGGTCGTTACAAATAGTATCAAAGCCTGACCCAACCGGAAGTGTGCCGACGGGGACGTCGGGCTTCCAATGGAGGTGAATTGTAATGACCCTGTGGACGGGTGTGCCGTGAGTGGATGAGAGACACTGACAGGCTACCATACTGGCGAGCTACGGGTGCACAGTCCCACATTGCCTGGGTAGAGTGAAGTGCTTATATATAAGTGTGTCATCTCCAATTAGTATGATGCCTTTTGGGGTGAAGCTCAAGAGTAAAACCGTGAAGGCTTGGCCCAAAACGGACAATATCATACCATGTGGTGGAGTGGGTCATTACAAAAAAAAGATCAATACCATTTAACCTATTACCCATTGTCATTGGAAGAGCACATTTTTGTTTCTAAATAAATGATAAATTATGCAATTATTACAAAAAGAAGGCAAATTCATTTCCAGTTTGTAGCCTGCTCTCTTAGGCTGCTCCTTTCCTTTGGTGTCTGCCATTTGGTTTTTGTTAGTTTGTTTACCTTGTAGTGTTGGTTTAGCATTTGCTTTCTATATCTGCTAATTTGTATTTCTGTTATTAGGCTCTTTTCGTTCATCGTCATTTGGTTTAGTGTCTCTTTGTTCCTAGGCTCTTTGATTCACATCATCTTTGGAGTTTATTTCTATTTCTTGGTCATCCCGTAGTTCTCTTTCCTCGTCTTCTTTTGCTGTTTTGTGTTTTGTTGCATCCTTATGGAAAAGTCAGTTTTACAACAGCTTGAAACTCATGCATGTAATGGGTGATTTCAATGAAATTTTGCATAAATGAAAGA